TCTTTTACAGATCTAAAGACGCTAAGGATCCGAAGTGTACAGCCTGAAGATACTGTACCTCTCAGGCACGCAGTGCTATGGCCTGATAAACCTGTATCCTACGTCCTGCTGCCTGAGGACAGTGCTGGTTATCATCTGGGCGCATTTCTGGACGAAGCAGAGCCTGCCACAGCAGTGATCTCTCTCTTCATTGAGTCTTTACCTCTGTCAGAACCCATTCTCGGCCCGGGCACGCCACCCCGCACAGCACGTTTCCGCAAGTTCGCCTGCCATCCTTCGCATCAAGGTCGTGGCATCGGAACTGCGCTACTTGTCAGCACATATCAAGCTGCGCGAGATCTGGGCTGCGCCGTGATATGGTGCGACGCGAGGCTGGAGACGGCCTCCTGGTACGAGAAGCAGGGAATGCAGCGCTTTGGAGACACTTTCTTTAAAGGCCCCATTGAGTATATTAGGATGAAAGCTGAGTTGTGAAGACGTCCTTAGAATGTAGACTAACTAATCAATGGATAGAGCCTTATGGATAGATTGCATGGTGTTCGATTTTAATCCCCAGCTTATCGAATAAAGCATGGCTGTGCCTAAGGCGCAGTTTGCTTCTCGTGTGCGGTCCGTGTTGGTCGCCGCATGCTATGGACGAGCGCGTAATAAGTGTGCTGCTGCTGACATCGTGAATGCAAGATTCACGAACGCCACAGCAGCGTTTACAGCAACATTTACGGCACAAGGCCGCCCAACCTTATTGGTTCTCATGCTCAGATTTGTCGCTGGCCGAGAGCTTTTGGGGAGGAACATAGGGCTGGTGGACGTGAATGTGGTACCGGCTATCAGCGTGTTGGGAACAAGTTGAGATGGCATCTTAGGATGTCGACCAGTTACTATGAGTAGTGCCTCGCCGTTTTGTCGTCGCAACTCAGCTCCTCTTTCACTCTACCCAAGATAACGATGTCCTCCCCCAGCAGGAATGAGCACACTGCACTACCGAGCAGCCCGCCAGCGCCCACCCAGTCCCAAAAGGTGCAAGAGCGAGCACCACTGCAGCAAGAGCAGCCGACAGCCAACCAGAATACTTACGACAGGTCTGTCCTCATTGCTTTGACATGCTTGCGAACCCTGCACTCACTTTATACATTCTGCCACGTAACACAGCAGTCTAAAGGACGAAGTCGGCTCTTCGCAGGCTCCAGCACAGCAACGCCCCGCATACCCTTGGTCGCGACACCGACTGAACCTCCCACCTCCCGTCGTCGTTTTAAAACTAGGCGATGCCCCACCAGCGGCGCCCTCGCCGTCCCCGTTCCCAAGATATGGCCATTCGCTACCCACCTCCGCCACTGCTACTGGGGAGCTCTTCCTTTTCGGTGGTCTTGTTGGAGAGACTACTCGCAACGATCTCTATCTATTCTCGACTCAGGACCTGTCGTCGACGCTGGTGCAAACAAGAGGAGAAATTCCATCGCCACGAGTGGGCCATGCAAGCGCTATCGTTGGCAGTGTTTTGTTTGTATGGGGCGGTGATACCAAGACGAACGACAGCACGAAATCGACGGATAAGCAGGATGACGGGCTTTATCTCTTGAACCTCGGTAAGCACAGTATTCTTTCTTCTACATGGGCACTGTTTCACGTAGATCGCAGTCTCTCGTGAATGGACTCGCGTAAACGTGTATGGTCCGGCACCTATAGGTCGGTATGGGCATGCTGTGGCGATGGTGGGCAGCAAGTTCTTTATGTTCGGTGGGCAAGTAGACGGAGAGTTTCTAAACGATCTCTGGGCATTCGATCTCCATTCACGTGAGCTGAACTTTCCTCCCCGTCTGTTGTCTGATAACTAATCTTGTGTCTAGTACGGACGAAGGCGGTGTGGAAGAAGGTGGAACTCGCAGAGGGTTCTCCCAGGCCTGCACAACGTACCGGCCATATTTGCGTGCCATATGGCGAAAAGATTGTTCTGTCGGTATCGAAGTTCTATTAAATCTTCTTCAAAAGAAATTGCACTTACATCTCGGTGTTACGTTAGGTTCGGCGGTACTGACTATCAGTTCCACTACAACGATACATGGATCTTTGACATTAGCACTCGCACGTGGTCTGAGCTAACCTGCATCGGCTTCATCCCTTCTCCGAGAGAGGGTCATGCTGCGGCGATTGTAGACGACGACGTCTATATCTTTGGTGGCAGAGGGGTTGATGGTAAGGATTTGGGCGACCTCCAAGCTTTTAAGCTATCGAGTGAGTAACAGAATAATCTCTCATGTATTAACCAGACTGGACACATTTGCAGATCAGCGCTGGTACATGTTTCAGAAGATGGGACCAGCACCTAGTGCGCGCTCAGGTCATGCTATGGCGTCCGTGGGATCCCGGGTATTCGTATTCGGAGGTTTAGGTGGGGAATCACTGAATGCCGCGAAACCAGAAGACCACAGGATCGTCCACGTCCTAGATACCGGTATGTTCCTTACGATTTCAGTGATACTTCGACCCTAATCTTCTGCTCCAGAATGTATCAAGTATCCTGCTAGTACTGGCAGATCTTCGCCTCCCAATGCTCCAAAGGCCCCCAATCAAGAGACATCCGTCCAGACCTCCGAAGTGGGTCTCCTCAACATCTGAGGCCGGTCGGTCCGCGGACGCCTCACGGCGCCCAAGTGCCATTGGAAGTGAATTCTGTCCGTCACGACACCGACGATCGTCTAGACCCTGAACGTATACTTGAGTGCCCACGAGGCACGATCCCATCTCAAACTGCAGTGCCGTCCTTATCTATTTATTCATGGAGCCCGGTGCACGGCGCGGGATTGCTAGAGCATGATCAACGTGTATCTAATATGTTCCTGGGGCTAGATCTGAGGCACACCTCATTCGACTATAAATTATGTAAAAGTGCTCCCAGATGGTCAGCAAACTTGCCGCTCCCGTCGTGTATCGCGTGCTGCACGGTCGTAGAGCGTAGCGTTGCTATCGCGCACGACGGGTGGGAGATCACCCGTCTGGACCACCTGTTCAAGCCAGGGCCTTGACAGAAGCAAGGAAGCCTCGGGGGCACAGCAATCTTTACGTGGTTCAGATTCTATGTTGGGTATGCGAAGATCGAGCAGTCGCATGGTTACTGAGCGCAGCTCACTCGAAGGTTGTCGGACAGTACTTCTGGGATGTGCGCTGGGGTTCATTCGTACTAAGCTCTCTCGTTTTGAGCTGTATATTCCATGCAGCCTTATAGCAGAGCCGAGCCTGCGGTGGTTTGGTTGCTATCGCCCCACAGATGGTGGTAGTCAGCTGGCTTTCTTGTGCCATCGTGAGAGAAGCGTAGATGATCAGAGATGGTCAGAAATAATCAGTGGTAATGTGAGGGCTCGTCAGCGATTGTTTTGCTGGCACATGGACGAAATAAAAGGGGCGCCACAAACGGCGGAAATGCGCTCCAATCAAAAGCGAGTGCCTACTTTGGAAGAGAGCGCATCAAAAATTCACGTAATACTGTAGCGGTGTGACCAAAAGTTCAGGTCACGGTCACGGGGCCTCTGAACAGGCCGAGATTGAACCGGTGGTCACAGT